TTAAAAAACTTAGTCTTCTGCTCATTTTAAAAGTGACTGTCATGAAGTGTTACACGAAGGAAATAAACCTGCATCAAAAAGAGCTACATGTGTAAATAAATGAAGTCTCTTTTTTTATTACCGGTATTGATGTATTTTTGTCTTACATTGGATGTCTCATTTCATTTCTCAAACTTCAGAAGAAAAACTTTCTGACGTTAAAGCAAAATTTTGTATTAAGTTGTTGCATGGGCAGTTGACGATCTATTACCCTCCCTAATATATTTTAGATGGATATTGTAAGACCTATAGTGTAGACGTCCAAAGGAAGCATTTTGGGTTCAAGTCCATTTTCCGAAGAGTGTATGATTCCTTTCAGTGACGAAATATACCTTTATGAAGCATCAAGAGACATTCACTACCAATGTATATTAGGATACTACATCTGTTGCATTTTAATGAGTAACAAAGACCAGTTATTAGTTGCCTGCTTGGTGAAGTGGTTAGAGTGTTTGTTCTAGAGTCACAGATTAAGGAGGGTGCTGCTGCAAAAATAATTATATCTCCCTGCTCAATGACCGTAAGTGCTGAGTACATTTTGCAGCCTTCAACCGGCAAGTGATGGAGTCTCAATACGAGTAAAAAATTCTTGATGGGGCATAAAATGTTTTTTTAAAAAAGAAGAAAAAACGGCGTCATTTTTAGCAAGTCTCTTCGAAAGAAACTATCAGCCATACCTTGACCAAACATACTAATTGATGTAGAAAGGGATGTGTACTTTTTGACTTGCTCTGGGTCGTAGTAACTTCGCCTGCCTACTTATCTCTACAAGTAAGTGACTAGATATAATAAAATGATTCCCAGGTACATGTAATACACATGTAGTAACTTAGAAATGTCTACAGAGATCAACATTGTAGGGTTTATAAACTTATATAATACTAACACCTTTCTAGACTATGCTGAAAGTGACAGTAAAGTTGAAAGGCCTCTCATAATGATTAGTTGTTTTGTTTTGTTTTGTTTTGTACATCTCCTTAATTCAGAAACTTTAACTCATACTTTGACGCCTCCACTTGCCTGTGGGGGATGTAAATTTATTATCAGACCTATACGCGGCACTGGCTTTTGAGCAGTGAGGGAGCTTTTTCCGCTCTTACTGCAATACGGGACCTCGGTTTATACGGTCTGATCTGAAGGACCAGCCTCCGTATTCCGTTTTGTCAAAAGGTCAAACCCGCGACTGTAAATTTAACTCTCTGTGTGTAACACAGCGTCATGTGGGTGTTTGGTAAGTTTCATAAACATTTGATTTAGCTATGTTTCTCTTTTCCAGATACAACGATGGACTTGTTGAAATTATCAGATGGGTTGTGTTACCAAGATCCTGGAGGAATATTTTCTTCGAAAAGTTTACAACTAGAGTGCAACAAGTTGACAAAAAAGTCACTGTTTTCTTTTGATTACTTCCAAACAGTGCGATCTATCTCCTGTGATTTTTACGAGTTAGGTAGAGGATTAACCTTTAGTATTCACGTCTACTAATGTTAACAATTAATGTCGTACTCATTTTCGACTTCTTTTTTCACCTGAGCCGAAGGCTCAAGTGAAGCTTTTTTACTAAATGATAGTATTCCAGCATGTTTGAAAAATTTATGAGGTTATAAAATCATCATTCAGTGTGATAAATATTCCATATAAAAAAAATCTTCTATAACATAATGCCAGAAAAGCATCAAATCTTTATATGTATATTGACATACATGTATTTTATTTCCTTCAGTTTGTATACATTTAATAACTCTACAAATTCAGTCAGGGGGAGCCGACTTTTTCCCTAAGCGGGGGACACGAATTCTCTGAATTAGCTTGTTTTTTTTACATCTTCTTCAGAAACTTTAACTCATACTTTGACGCCTCCACTTGCCTGTGGGGGAAGTAAATTTATACGCGCATCCTAAGGTTTTGATGTAGAGCTTCAACTTTGTTCAATATCATGACCCCTGGGGATACGGCTGGGCCACAATGGACCAGCCTCCGTATTCCGTTGTCAGATATATAGGAAAATTCTTTAAAAATCTTCTTCTCAAGAATACACTAGTGTTTGGTAAGCTTTGTAAACATTTGATTTGACTACGTTTCTCTTTTCCAGATACAACGATGGACTTGTTGAAATTATCAGATGGGTTTTACATAGAAATATATAGGAAAATTCTTTAAAAATCTTCTTCTCAAGAATATCAAGTGCAAGAAGTTGACTAATTGATGCTATTTAATATGGAAGCATCCTCTTGTGATTTTTATGAGTTAGGTAGAGGATTAACCTTCAGTATTCACGTCTACTAGTTTTAACAATTAAGGTGTTGTTTTTAGAAATAGATAATTTGAATTGTTAATCAAGCATAAAAGGCAATTAAGTTGATGCCTGTCGCAGATGACAATTGAGAAAAATAAAGTGTCTTGTCTTTAAAGTAATATGAGCTGCATTTTTTGAGAATGTCATTATGCTATATATTAAAATGTTTCATTATGATAAATGTGTAAGTAATTTGAACCTTAATAATAAATTAGACTACCCGTTAAATAAATTATTAAAATTGCTTAAAATGACCTCTCTACAATCAAATTTAGAATTATTACAGAAATCGATATTGTACTGGACGACAATATAGTTCTTACAAGTACATGTATGAATAACAGAAGTTCATAAATGATTTTTTTTTTTCTCTGTCCTTGAAATTTTGTAACAGAAAATTTTGACATCAAAGTTGCAGCTCATATTGCTTTAACATCAATGAGTGTGCCTGTTGTATACTCAAGCAAGTTGCTTATGAATCAATTCTATCCATGTATCCCTGTTTTTACTTTCTTATATATTTCTGTTTTATGAAAGTCTCAATCTCTACATTTTTAATTTTTCATCTACAGACAAAATTGATTTGATTTGGTAAAAATATATACTAGTAGGTGACCTTCTGCTATTTTTGGATAAAATACTTTTTTCTGTCGTAACCAAACAGTTTTATGTCTGTCTCATTGATTTTTTTTTTTTGACATCGAGACGATTGAATGCAATTACTCACTGTTTTGTGTTCTTTGTTGAAGATTGTAGCGGAATACCTTTTGCTGCGGATCTCTGTGTTCCTTGTAAATCAAACTGTCCTTCCAATGTCACTTGTCTAGTTCTGACCGGAAGTTGTTTAACTATGTACATGCATTTGAAAGACACCAACGATACAAGCGACGAAGAACTAGATTTGCATTGTCCCAGTGGATTCAAGGGTAGAAACTGCAGTAAGAGTAAGTTTTTTTTTTTCATCACGTACTAGTACTCTCCTTACTCCTTTTTTAAAAATATTATAAGGGATAATTTATCTGCGATAATAAAATACTGATATACTACTGAAGTTTTTATATTTAAAATATCGGACATTTAGACTTCTATTTATACTCATACCTGTAGCTTGTGAGCTTGGGACTTACGGAGACGTTTGTGATTCCCGATGTAGTACTCACTGTGTGGACGGTAACTGTCACCACGTGAATGGCACGTGCATCAAGGGATGTAAACCCGGATGGAAGGGAGATAAATGCGACTCCCCAGGTGAGTTTTAAATTTTTTTTAATTATAATTTTTTTTAGAAAAACTTAATCATACTGTATATAAAATTGATCAAAATCTCATGAATTACCTTCATTCTGCAGATTGTCCCAAAGGCACTTATGGTGAGGATTGCACTAAAACGTGTAGCCCAAACTGTATGTACCGTTGTTCCTCAAAAGACGGGATTTGCTACTGTGACAGGGGGTTCAAGAGTGTGAAGTATGAGGGAGTTTTATGTGACAAACGTTAGTTTCAATATTCAAGTAACATGCTACTGTTTGTGATTTATTTTGCATATATATCTATCATTCAGTTTTATTAGAATACACAACCAATTTTTTTTCAAAAATCCTGATATAAAATTGGCTTAGATAAACAAAATCACAGTCACTTTAGCCAAGGTTGCCTAGAACTTTCCATATTTCTAGCTACTTAGTAATCTATTTAGGAATTTGTTAACTGAAATATTACAGTCAAATACAACTGGACTACTACTGGTACATATGTAAAAATTGTTTGCTAAAACTATGTAGAGAATTTCAGCGTGCACAATAGAAATATCTTATAAATATACTGGAAAAATATAACGCGCATCTTTGAAAGTAAAACTTGGTACTAGTTAAAAATAGCAGGACCCTTATAAGTTGCAAGACCCTTATAAGTTGCCCCCCGAAGCTTTTGCAAAATTACCAAATTGATAATGCTAAGAACTCGAAAGGATTTCCATTGAAAAAAAAAATGAAGAGGAAGACAGTTATCTGAACAGAAAAAAAAGCCAAGACCTAGTTTGACTTAGGTTGCACTCATCCAAAATTAAAGCTAAGAAATCTCGGAGTAAAATAGTCCCCGCTTTCCATTTGCTTTTATATAAGTGGGATTTGTCAATGTGTTAATTTAAGCATTACCTAAAAGATTTCTTTTATATATAAAACAGCTTGTGATCCAGGGACCTATGGCGAAGGGTGTTCACGGAACTGTGGGAAATGTCGCCAAGGAACCACGTGCTTCCCTAACAACGGTACTTGCCCAGATGGATGCGATTTACCCGGATACCGCTTTGAAAACTCAGATTGTAGTTCATTTAGTCAGTATTTTTTTACTTTAAAATCTTTATATAATTTTTATATTCAGATTTCAAAAAAATATTTCTGCGGAACTCGAGTCCTTTTGTATGAAATGATCCTTGTAATGTCTTAAAAAAAAAGGAAATTAGTAGGCTAAGTAATTAATCAGTTGTATAAAAATATAGAAAATATGTAGGTTACCCCTTAATCTAACTTTTTGTGTGGTATATGATATGGATATATCAGTTCTATAGTATTCTAAAGTAACTCGAACACACACACACACACATACACACCAAAAAGAAAAAAGAAAAAAAGAACAGCACCCCACTTCAGGAGGTCCTCTTTTTTATCATTTTGGGTTCTGCTCGATATTTGAATATTAAACAGGAAACAAACAGATAAATTTGAATGTAACATTTTGGTAGTTGTTTGCATTTCTTATCAAGCCTCATACATGTATGTTTAGCTCTTTACTGCCATTTGAAATAATTTCCATTGTTTGGTTAGAATGTTATTGTTTACATTAGATGTAATTAGCTCCTTGAAAGTAAAGATGGTTTGCTTGTATGTGTAAAGTTCAAGTTCAGTTTATTCACCCAGACCAATCTATTGGTACATGGGGTATTGTGCATTTAAATAACATATATACATTATATACAATATAAACAGTCTGGTCAATCACATTTTTAATATAGAAAACATAACAAAAATTAATTTAGAAAAAAAGAGTGGGGAAACAAAAATTGGACGACAGCAGCATAGATTTTTTGGATAAATATACTTTTTTCATCACTTTTTCAGTTTGAGGTTGACATAATTTCCATGAATTTAATAACATTCGGTCTAGATAAATAATAATTGCCCAGGTAATTCTTTCTCACATTAGATAAAGTTTTAAATTCTAAAATATAATGAAATTCATCTGCAATTTGATTGTTTTTACAAAGTGTACATATTCTATCGCACAGTGGTAAACCTTGCCATCTTCCTGTCTCTATCGGTAAATGGTGATTTGTGGTCCAATTTCATAAATATTGCTCTAAATTTAGGAATAACTTATTAATATAATTTTCAAATCCAAAATTTTGTTTAAAGATTCTGTAAGTTTGTCCTTTTGAAGAATTATTAACGTCACTAGACCACTTTTGAATAAATTGATCTTGTAATATTTGTTTTACTGTAGCAGTTATCCATTTATAATTCATATTGGCACTCTGTTCGTACCATACATTTTGTAAACCACATATATTACATATTTTCTGTATACAATATAACCATGGGTTTGTTAAATTTCCATCACAGTACAATTTAAACATATGTTTGTATAAAACATTTACAATCTTAGTTTGTGGGCCTGAAAAAAGCTTTGCCCAAAATGAAATCATTCTACAGTGGACCGAGATGTACAGAGGAAAGCGACCTGCGACCTGTTTCACCATAGACCATGTACGATGGCGTGGAACTTTTCAAATTAAATACATGCTTTAAAAACTTCAAGTGTAAACGTTCTACAATATCAAGGTTTTCGTAGCCCCATACTTCAGAGCCATATACATGTAGTAAGACTAAAGTACTACAACTCTATCAAAAAGATCAAATTGACAGTCAACTGGTAATTTGAATTGTCTAATTTTTCTTATAATTCCATACATCGCTTTTTGAGCTTGTTCATATAAGTGTTTTTTTGTTTTACAAAAGGAACCAGAGCGTGAAAATACAACGCCTAGGTATTTAAATTCTTTAACGTTTTCAATAACTAAGTTGTCGTTAAAATTTTCTTTTTAACATTGGACCCTTTGAAAATACCATGATCTTCGTTTTTTCGACATTAACTTTCAACTTCCATTGCAAACAATATTTTTGAAATTCGTTAATTGCATGTTGTAATTCATCGGCTGATTCAGCCATAATAACAGTGTCATCTGGATATAAAAGTACTAACAGTTTAAAATACATTAGTAATTATAATTCATTCTCAATAGTACTTGAAATACTTTGCAAGCCTACAACATTCTTGTTAAGAATGAATAAAGGGAGGAAATAAGAAAAGAAACTGGACCAAGAAATGTTTTATAGACTTGATTACAAATTGAACTTTCTCATAAAGGCAATTTAAATAAGCTTATTTTTGAGTGTAATAGTTTGGGCTGTGGATATGGGTCTTGGTAGCCCAGTTATTGGAGCACCTGATGCAGAGGTCCTGGGTTCGACTTCCGGTCCAGCCAAACATTCCCTCCCCCCTGTTACAGACCTGGTGCCCCTGACCACCCCTGTAATAGCATGTTAAAGTCCTACCAGGGGCGAACAAGAACTTTGGTCGTGTCTTCGAGGGCGAAGAACATTTAAGGAGGGAGGGATGTAATGGTTTGGGCCGTGGATATTGGCTTGGTTAGCTCAGTTAGTAGACTAGTGATGCAGGGGTCCTGGGTTCGATTCCCGGTCCAGCCATACATTTAATAAAAACTATTTTAAAGATATTTTTACTGAAGCATGGCTTGTAACTAGAATCTTTTGCAGCTTTTAATCCAGGCACACTGTGGGTATATAAATGTAGAAGTACAAAATATGGGATAAACTGTGAAAAGAACTGCAGTGAAAACTGTCTCAGGAAAAGATGCAGGAATACAGACGGCATGTGCCTGAGATGTTCACCTGGATATCAAGGCTTCAATTGCACCTCAGGTAGAACTTATATTCCAAGTTTTCTTTTAAGTAAAAAAAAAGGGATGTGTTCCCATTTCGCCTTAACTGTGAAATACAGATAAGAAAGGCTAAAAAGTACTAAGGCGAAATGGGAATTTTCTTAAAATACTGTTGTATAAACAGTTTAAAAAATAGCTATTCTCTGATTATTGGTATTAACTAAGTGAACAATGAAATAGATCACATATTCGTCGACATGCATAAACAATACCAAGTCTCTTGACTTGATATAAAAGAATATAGATGATATTGATTATCTTAATCAACGTTTTAGAATGTAGTCCTGGGACATATGGAAAAAACTGCAACAGTAGATGTCATTGTAAGGATGGGGCTTCTTGTAACAATGTTAACGGACGTTGTCCGGGGGATTGTGAACCCGGCTATGAAGGAGAAAGCTGTGATCATAAAGGTGAGATATTCATATAAATACTAATAGATCGTTACATAAAGGTGAGATATTCATATAAATACTAATAGATCGTTGCATGAAGATGAGATGTTTATATTAATACTAAAAGACCGTTACAAGGTGAGATATTCATATAAATTAAGTAACATTTTAATGCATATAAAGGAGAGATTTAAACAATAAAATGCTTTCTTTCGTTGTAAGTACGGGAATGAATGTCGCAGCTGTTGCAGAAAAAGTACATAGCGGGTCATGTAATTTTTTTCTGCAATAGCTGTGACATTCATTCCCGCACTAACAACCAAAGAAAGACATTCTATTGTTTATATTTATACCCCCCGCTTGAAAAGTGTGAGGGTATACCAGGTAATGTAATCGGTATGTCCGTCCGCCCGTCTGTCTGTTACACTTTGGGGTACCCATCTCTTATCCGCAACTCCTCTTATACCACTGAGTGAAATTTAATGAAACTTTCACAGAATTTTTATTACACATTGCCATTGTGCACCTCCTTTTTACTTTTTGATCCGACAGGTAATTCGGGTTTCCTGGCCACAGCAAAACATGGACTTTGCCATTATAACCATATTGATATCTGTTTAAATAATCATTTAAAGTAGGATTAAAAAGATTTATTATTGTATTAATGATACGTCCGTCTTTGTACGTTTCATTGATAGAGCAGCCACTAATCAAGAAATCAATACAGGTGATATGCCTAGTGTTGTTCATACACTGATTAAAGACAATGGGTTTTCTTAAGAAATAAAGGAGAAACTATTCAGTGGATGTAAATATATGTATATCCATATGAATACAAATATTCTATTGAAGAAATTGGGAATATACATATAAATACTACACCTTTACATTAAAATGAGATGCTCTTATAGAAACATATAAATATTTTGACTATGTACCGTTACATAAATGTGAGATATTCATATAAATACTAACACACCCTTACATTAAAATGAGATGCTCTTATAAATACATCAGTATGAATGTTTTCTACGAGGGCTGTTCAATAAATAAAGTCCTGAACTGTATGACAATACAATACAGATATCATATGACATTAAGCTTGACTTTCTCTCATTATTGAATCTTTAATAAATTTATAGAAGTTTATATGACCACTTTTCATCACACAGTTTTTTTGTGAGAAGCTGGAAAACAAGGGCTATTCAAGACGCTGCATTATAAATGAGTGGTAAAAAATCAGTAAACAAGAGTGAAAATAAAAGCTTCATTAAAGCTGCTGTAAAACTTGTTAAGAATCCCAAAGAAATATTCACTGAAATATATGACAGTTACAGCAACCAATGCCTGTTTTATAGACAAATGAGCAGGTGGATTTCAATTATAAAAAATTATATAATGGGCATCAAAAATGGGTACCGTCCTTGCCAACAAAATTTATAACAACTTATGTACTGTTTGCCAAATTTCAACAAATAATGTTTGATGATGTATGATTGACTTTAAGACACATAGCAAATTTGATAGACATCATATCGGGAGTAGTTTACACTGTTTTAAGAAACGTGTGATGGTAAAAAAGCTTGGTACTCAAAGGTCACCCTATATTTTGAAAAATGAGTTAAAACGACAGCGTGTACGAATGTCTTAACAATTATCTTAAAATATCAGTAATTGTAGTTATCCACGTTTGTTTGATATTCAAACAGATAATAAAACATGAATCTATTGCTTAAAACCGTCAAAACAAAATTTACTATAAGATGTACTTGATAAAAAACAGCGAAGGTCTGACAAGAGCAAAGATATGCAAGAGCACAAAGACAGATTTATATGCAATTTTCTTAAATATTAGTTGTATTGTTGTTCAAATTCGTATTCGGGGAGACAGTTTAATTTCTGGAGGAGTGTAGAAAGCAATTCTTTTGCAAAAAAATCGAAAGGTTTATTAGAGGAAGGACCCAGAATCAGGAATCCACTACATTAAATTTCTTCATGACAGCGTCCAAACCCGCACGCCCTGAAGAAAAGGGGTTTTCGGAATAAACAGAAAGTTAAAGTTTTTTCACATTAACAATATTCGCCAGATCGTTGACCTTTTGACTTGTTTCTATTTCCAAACTTGAAAAAACACTTTTCAGAAGGAAGAAACAAGTCCAGGAAATCATTGGATCTGCCATTTTCCAATATACTAAGGGTCATACCCAAAAATGAGATCTAAAAACAATCAGAAATTGGATAAAAAATGTTACGGACATGTGTTTTAATTAAAAGAGATTAATAAGTAAAATCATGAAGACTAAATCTTTGAAAAGCGTTTTTTGCTTCTTTCCGAGTACCGAGGACGTTATTTATTGAACAGCCCTCGTATTATACCATTACATAAATGTGAGATATTCATATAAATAATAACATACCGTTACATGAAAGTAATATAAATACTAAAATATCGTAAATAAATGTGAGATACTCATGTAAATAGCAACAAACTATCAAATAAAGTTTAATAAATGTGGGTATAATATATATAATAGCTAACAGACTGTTAAATAAGGGTGATATATTTATATTTTTATAAAAACATGTAGTAACACACCGACATACAACGGCAAAGCTTATTTTCATGAATCAGTGGGCCAACTATGGTTCTGATTCAAGGTTCCTATTACTCCTATTCTGGTCAAGCTACATGTTTTTATTTTGTTTTATTTACAGTTTTGGAGTAAGTCATTAGTATGCTTTTAAATATTACGTCATAATTATGTGACATAATATATTTTTATTAGTCTGTGAACCCGGATTATATGGATGGGATTGTGATAAGTGGTGTTTCTGCAAAGACAACGAACCTTGTGACTGGGAGACCGGAAACTGCCCAGGCGCATGTCAAAAAGGATGGCGTTGGTCGCAGTGTAACTATAGAGGTTAGTACTGTTAATAAGTCTTAGATTGGAAAGATGCATATTAAAAATGAATTGTTTTCCGAAGGCGTGACATTCCATAAATTGGATTTTTTTTTTCAGATGTCTGCTTATATCCAGAATGTAAGTTACAAATTTTAACATTCATATCAAGATGTAGGTAATAATAAGTGACATACATCAGTAGCACAGGCACCTGACGTTACTTATTTTTCTTTTAATAAAAAAAATATACACATACCGAATAATAAACCTTGTTTATTATTCGGTATGTGTATATTTTTTTTTATTAAAAGAAAAATAAGTAACGTCAGGTGCCTGTGATCAGTAGGCAGTCTAATATATGTCCACCGTCCAATATTGCAAGCGGCAAGCGTTCTGTTGTATTCCTGTGAAGATTTTGTCAGATGTTATATTTAAAATACAACACACTGTTTATATTTAATGTGTGTATGTTTGTTTGTTTTCAGATGATGAAGAAAAAGAAGGTTCAGTCACTTGGGAACCAAAAAGCCTTGGGATCGGGATTGCTTTGGGATTTGGCGCCACTCTTTTCGTAACGGGATGTGGTTACATGCGTTACAGTTTATCTAAGTGATATTAAATCAAAATATTTTTTCGTTTTTATAAGAGATCCTTTAGTTTTTCAAAGTTAATATTTCTTTTTAAAGGCAGATTTAGGATAAAAGTATATTCATGAGTTCATTCTGACTTATCGATACCTTGCTTCCATACTAGATGCACCAGGGCTTCAGGAAAGTTCTTTTTCTCGCTGTACAAAGTAAATTTTACAAACATGTCGAAAAATTACTTTATGTCAGGAATTTATATTTTTTAAGATTTCCTTGAAATAAGTACATGATAACTTATTGATCATGTTTGCATAACAGTTTCTGCATAACTTTGATTTTACGTGCTGCTTTATTGTGTTTAATGTTACAGTATTTTCCCTGTTTCTGCTACATATTCGTGACAATCTAAAGGACATTTTGTGATAGAAAAATTATATCGCAAAGTTCTTATTTTCAATGTTTAAAATTATTTTAAAATAGTGCTAAAATGTATCCTTTTGTTTAAGAATGAAATCATTTCGCGTATAAGAATCGGATGGAAAATTTGAATGCTTTTTTGGATGCAATTGAATTTCATTGCTACATTAATGTGATTGCTTGGATCCAAAGCATCCAAGAATCTGTTTTAAAAGTAGCATACATGAACATATTTTTATATTGTTTATATATTGAGTGTAACAAAGTTTTTTAAAATTATAAAAATGCTAGTCATTTGTATATTTTTATGTTTTTTAATATTTTGCCTAATAAAAATTTATGGTTCACCAAATGAATACCTACACTGTATAGTGTTAATGAAAACTGAATAAATCTTTAAAGTGTTAATTAATGCGAATACATGTACATGTTCTATGATTGTTTATTATTGTATGATTGCATAAATCATATTTTTTTTTATGCAATGGCAGACTCCCATTGGATTTTTTTTTAATTCCAACGAAGAAGGGAAGGCATATTGCTTTGCTCCCGTCGATCGGTCGGTCCACTTATAGTTTCCGTTCTTTTCTTTACAACCGTTCAACATACTGATATGAAATTTAGTATACAGATATATCGGATGAATGTCTACAGGTCAAGTTCTGTTTTGGGTATGATTGCGCCATTTTTGACAGAGTTATGCCCCTTGGAATTAGAAAAATTCCAATTATTTGCAGTTTCCGTTCATTTTCTTTGCAGAGGTTGCACATATTGAAATGGAATTTAGTAGACAGAGATATCAGATAAATCTCTAGGTCAAGGTCTGTTTTGGGTACGATCGCGCCATTTTTGAAAAAAATTATGCCCCCCCCCCCCCCTTGGTTTTTTTTATAAATTCAAAATTCCTCTTCACATATTTTCAAAAAAAAAATTGGGCCATTATAGAAAAAATGGACTCCAAGTATAATGTTAAGGATGATCATGTAGCTGAAAAATAAAAAAAAAAATACTTAAGGACAGTGTTTTCTCTTCTTCGATCCCTCTCAATCTGATTAAAATCAGATCCTTTAATCCGCTCACATAGATCGCTACACAAGGATCAAGATAACCCATTCAGGGTCATCTCCTGATGACCTCTCAATTATCCAATCAAACGTTCACTTCCAAGAATTAAGAAGTATCTCGGAATTCAGTTACAGAAGTAAAAACCCCGATGGCACACGAACGGAAAATCTTGACCTAGTTTCCATATCCTGCCAAGAGAACGACTATAGTCTTTTCTGTAGAGAAATTAAAAAAGTACTTGCTTTTGTCTTGGTTTTGAGCTCTTTGTTTGGCACGAAACGATAACATCTTTCATTTCGACATTCATTTTCCTGAACGTCATTTAAATATGATTTCTCTGACTGGTCAAAATTTTAATGAATATTTTTATTAGAAAGGTCACCAGGAGATGACCCTGAATGGGGTTTCTTCAGATCCTTATGTAGCGATCTATCTGAGCGGATCAAAGAATCGGATTTTAATTAGATTGCAATCCCTCTTATCACCTCGACACATGAACACCGTCACGCATTGTTACAACACACTTTGAAATTTTTTTTTCAAAGTGCGTTGCCACAACGCATTCACTAAAAGGTACATGGACACAAAATTACTGTTGCAGACACTCACGGTAGCTCATTCGGTATTGTGCTCGATCCGTGTTCGGAATGTTGTGAGTTCGAATCTTGGCCGAGATTGACCTAAGTCGATAAAACATAGGTAGCAACTGTTTCTTCGCCATGTGCTCGACACTGAGTTGATGTTGAACACTTCGCTTACCCACATCTTCTTAATCTGATATTTGTAGCAATCTCCTTAAGCTTTCCCCCCTTCTCACGCAACGTGATCATATATGTTTAATCGGTTTATTACCGGTAATAGACTTTTAACTGCCATCGGTAATCAATAATCACCAATTTCATATCTGGCAAGAATGATGCGCAGTGCTCATGTGGAAATTTTTCAAAGTTTTGAAAGTTTTTGGGTAAGAGGGCTATCAAAGAATTTTTTTCTTGATACGAAGACATTTATTAATAACTGTGTTGGGAGAAATTACACATTAGATAAACTAGTGCGAATTAGGCAATTAAGCTTCCAAAAAAACGAGAAAGTGGTTCGTTTAATAGCATTTTTTCTCTAGTGTACACACTGAATATCAAGTAAAATGTACAATTTTGGGAAAAGAGGTTGAGTTTTCGCTGGAAATATTGTTATTTTAGCATAAAAATCTAACAACTGGAGCATATTGTATGACAAAAGAAGAAACAGTGATGCACCGGGGCCTTAAGAAATCAATGTTCCTCAACTCGGAGTGAAAATTTCTTAAACATGATTACCTATGGTGTAAAACAAAGCGAGAAATCTTTCCTGCATTTTAGCAACCACTAACGATAAAGCTTTTAAAATTTTAGAAATATGCGCTTAAAGTAATATTAAACTATTGCAATGATAATTGTTAAGTGTTGATATATATTTTAAAATGGTTTTCCTCTTTCACATACATTATATATTAACTTGAGCAACGGTATCGAGATTATTTTTTACATGATACAAGTAGTACTGCTTGATTTTTACAAAAAATCATTTCCTACATAAATAATAAATAACAGGGTATAGTTTTGAAGTACCGGTATAAAGGGAAAAGTACATTTGAATAAAGTCAGTCATAGTGGATCCATTAACAGACAATCTAAACTCATTTAGTTACTAGGTTTTGACCTTAATAAAGATGAGTTTTTCTTCAGTTATTTGGCCTAATGTTGATTTTTTTTTTCACTCAATGATTCTGACCTTACCGGCACGCCATACTTAAGCTCTCAGACTGAGAGGACAAGAATCATGCAAAGATTAGTTTGATGTATAGCTAGAGGAACTTGGCATTCGTGTTGGGAGTTCTAACCCCTAATACAAACTGTGAAAGAATGAGAACACTGAGATTTATACATCCCTTCTTGATATTAGGTAAGTTGTGTTTAAATTATGATGCTATTTATTCTCCGGAGTGGAAAGACAACATATGGAGCTGTAAGCTGTAGGATTGGTTAATTATTTTGTTGACGTTAGTTTTAATTACAGTAAAAGCTACATCTGGAATATTGCCACCGGTACATCAGCACTTTAGTCTTATGTGACCCTTCATTCACCTTTCTGACCTAATTTAACCTGTGGCTACCTTGGTCAGTACAGCAGCTAGGTCCTGTAATAAAACTATAATTTCCAGATGAACATGAAGTGTGCATTTTCCCCCAAAGTGAAAGGATAGACATCCAATATTTTTAGATACTAGTACATGAATGATGATAAAGAAATGTGAAGAATGATATAAAATGTATTATTTAAAACTATCATGCATAAATAAAATATTTAAACTTCTCCTTGTGACTTGTGTGGCTCAAGTGAAGGATGTACATAGTAAAGTAACTAGAATTGACCTTTGTCCCTCTTAAAGAATTCTGAAGAAAGAGTCATAAGTCATGCATATGAAGCTTAAAATGTGAAGGACCACCCTTTTTGATGATTGGGTACAAATATTTTGGAGGGACTAGAAAGAACCCCCCCCCCTTCTTTGGAAAAGAGATTGTAGATCAACGTCATTCTTTTTTATGTGCCCAGATCGATAATTCGGGGCATATATTGTTTTTGTCCTGTCTGTCTGTCTGTTTGTCTAGCTGCCTCAGTGTCTGTCTGTTTGTCTCTCTGTCTGTCTGTTGTCAACTTTAACCTTCGCCATAACTTTTGAACCGTGAGAGATAGAGACTTCATATTTGGTATGCATACTCCACTAAATAAGCTCTTTCCATTGACATCAAGGTCAATGACCTTGTGACTGTGACTTATATGCTAACAAGATGTGTCTGTGAAATGGCACTGCGCCCGGAGGCAACAAAGTTCAAAAAAGCTATTTTTAGCATATAGATCACAGATAAGGTCACAAGGTCATGATTGACCTTGGTGTCATTTGAAAGAACTTAATTAGTGGAGTATGCGTACCAATTATGAAGTCTCAATCTCCTATGGTTTAAAAGTTATGGCGAAAGTTATAGTTGACAACAGACAGACAGACAGGACAAAACAATATACGCCCCGATCTATCGATCTGGGCGCATAAAATAGCTTTTTCGAACTTTCGCCATAACATCTGAACCATAGGGGATAGAGGAAAATTACATCCACTATACTTAAAAGAAGTGGGATCCCCCCCCCGCACAAGTGATAAGTAACACATAATTCAAAAGTGGGTATATCTGTCGGTGAGCTATACCTTATATACTGTTTCCTATTAGGGTAGGTACTGACTGTCCACAAAAATATGTCGAGTTGTTAAGGCTGTTTTCTGTCCACTATGTCAAATCTTTTATACAGCCATCAAAATTCTTTGCTATTCCTCCTGCAAATAGTGCATAGAAAATACAAAGAGAACGGCATCTACGACGTTTGTCCATACAGCTCGTGGGAAACATTTGACGTGTCAAAAATGACATCATCAAACTATTTCTTAATGCTATACTTACTGGCCATTAATTCATTAAGTTTTTCCTTTTTGGTTTGACTGTACACGGTAGTTCAGTCTGTAGAGCGCTGGCTCCGGGGTCGGGAGGTCGGGAGTGAATTTCGGTCGAGACTGACCTAAGTCGATCAGTGAAGTGAAAGTTGCAGGTCCTTTTTTCTTTTTTTTTTTTTTTTGGGGGGGGGGGGGGGGGGGCTGGCCTTATTGTCGATTTACACATAAAATCGGTGGACATTGTAGGTAGAATCCAGAGCCAGCATGTTTCCTTCTCCGCCTCATTGACGTGACCTGTGGGTTTTTATTTCACTGGGTGCACAACACATTTTCCCCATGTGTTCCTTCATTCCCAACTTATTTTTTTAAATCTCACAACTACGAGTGCATTTACTTCCACTTATCAACTCTCAGTGAGTCCTTGATCTGTCCAACTCTGGTGCTGTAGATTTTTCTTCAAGGAATATCTGAGCTCAACAAAATAATTAATACAAACGGGTCTTTGCACTTTCACATTAATGGATTTAGAGGCGGGGATTTTAATCTTAATTTTAGTTCATACATTTTTTTCATTAGAATCTTCGAATTCTTTGAGTATTTAAGAGCCATTCTCTGTAATGATTTGAAATTTTATATAGGAGCTGTGGCACGCATATTCTCAGAATTTCTCCAAACTCTCTATGATAAAAGTCATTGATACCGTAAACTGAAATCAGGCAAAAATTGGTTGCTATGTTGTATAGTTACCATGGCAACATGTCTTAAAGTTCGAAAAATGGCACTTTTAACATGTTTAGAGCCCCATAGTTAACATTTGCGGCAAAGCAAACAATTGGCAATGACTGTTTCCAAAAGTTGAAGGTCAGATGTCTCAAATGCTTGATAAACATGTTTGGTTAATCAACTATTACATACGTTACTATGGTAACAAAGTATTCAAAAGTAAAAAAATTCATTGAATTTTATAAAGTCATACACGTAAAAATAAAAAGCAATTATGGGATGAAATGTGACCAAATAATATAAAAAGAGCCTTGAAACATATACCAAGAACAAAATATGATATTTCATTTTGGTTGGCAATGGTTGCCAAGGTTTTTATACCACAGAGAGCCTTCTAAGTAACACGATGTATGTTTAAATCTGATCCTATCTTTTTAAAAAAGCACATTTCCTCATAACTTTTGTTCAATTTTATAAGATGTTGGTGTGCTCCAAGCTTTCCCATTTGAAAAAATTCAGATTAGATTCTAAAAATAGAGCGTTGCTATGGAAATAAGCAGAAAATATAAGGCTTAAAAACCTAAAAAATATTTTCTTTCCTTGGATACGTACCCTTAAATGTAGATTCCCAAAACTTTTATGATTGATGTTTTTTAACAGCTAACTTGACTTTTAATTGTGACTTTCATCCAATCTCTAAGTGGATGCAAGAATTTGGCACACAGGGTTTAATATTGATATAAAGTTCACAAAATCGAACATTTTCCCTTCTTGGTAACCATAGCAACAGTGTTGTTTTATTCGTCAAATTTTATCAATATATGATATTCAACTTCAGTTCTAACAGATAAGTACTATTCAAGCTGAGTCCTTTAATTTGTTTCTTGATTAAATGGCAATTTAATTCTTAATGCAGCGAAAAATAATTCACTTTTAAGCACTAGTACTTTATTTCCATGGTAACTCTGCAAAGTAGCAATTAGACCCAATTTTTCTTATGGTTTTGGTGTTGCAAGGTCCTAAGAATACATATTTGCCAGTCTTGAATTTTCATGTTTTTCCTCAAGACAGTAGCATTAACCCAATCTTAGTTACTGGTTTTGCATGGTTACACTGTGTTACCATGGCAACCATAAAAGTTATTTATAGAATAATATTGCTTATACTTATATACTTAAGGTCAAACATTTTCATTGTTTTTCTTAAGTCGTTGATTGAATTTGTGCATGTAACACCTACCATTAGTGAATACGGCGTGTTTTTCCACATATTTCAGCATTTTAAATGTATTCCAAATGTACCCTTGGTTACCACTTACTTAGAGATATATTCTAAACAGTTTCTTTACAGTTTAAGTGACATCAAGGTGTCATGTTTTTGTGAGAATGGTTTGTTTGCTTTTTCTAGTTTTTATTAAGCCACAGTCAAGATTTAAAGTGGCTGAAAATCTCGATTTTTCAAACTTTTCCGGCTGTTGCCATAGCAACCGAGACACATAGCAACGAAATTTTGTTTGATATTTGTTTCTTGTGTCAAGTACTAAGCATGGGTGAAGTTTCATCAAAATCGGTGACAATTCGTGGCAACGAAGTTTAAGTGGTTACAGAGAGTGGCTATTAATTAATAGTTAATACCTGTGTTACTTTTAAAAAAAAATCAGGTTTCATTTTTTCAGTGTATGGACTACTGAGGTTATCGTTAGGAGAATTTATGCCTTATAAGATTCGGTTCACGGTGGTGAAATCTCTGACAGGAGGGAGACAGGGACCCACAACTTCATGTCCTGACAGCACCCGGCAGATTTCACTGACGCAGTATTTACAGGACAAGAATGATTTGATTCCTCTGGACATTGATTACATTAGCGTGCAGTTTATCAACAGTGAGATTTTTATTTTCTATAGTCAGTTCGTTGAGGTGTATAAACAGTAAAAATACAAAATTCATCCTTCGATCCGAATCTTACCTACATAAGTTTTATATTGAATTAGTGATACTGGCTGATATTTATTTTGCATATCGCGGTATTCCTGCTCTTTTTCAGTAACAACGAAATCTCCGATACGGAGTGTTTTGGTGCCACCTGGTGGAGGGCCCTGTTACCAGGATCTGGCCAGTTCAGAAGATGTCATTCCTTCATCGAAAGTCCATGGCTCCTGTAAAGGACTGAAACATACCGATAACATTAACACCGAGACCATTTTGGTAAAGAAGACGTTTAAAGAATCATGTCGACTGAAAATCTCACGTAAGAACAATTTAAGTACTGGTATTTAGTTAAAGAATTACGTCACAATGCTTTACAGGGGAAAATTTGTAGTTTTATTGCCATTTTATGTTTGGGTAGGAAAAATATTTGGGGATTCCTCTTTCAAAGATCTTCTTTGCCACTTTACCCACAAATAAGAGATATCTTTACTGTATTTGAAAAGAGAGTTCATAGTACCATTTTTTATTTAGCTGAAGATGTTGAGGGAAAGTGTTATAATGTTGCAGACATGTAATATCTTAATGCCCTCCTTGTTTACAGGTGAGTGTAACGAGACTGTGTATGATGCTCACTGTGTGCCCTGTGGCAGTGGCTGTACAGAGGACTGTTACGTGGTGAGTGGGACTTGTAAAGGGGAGTATGTGTGTGAGGAGCCCTATACAGATCTGTTCTGTAACACAAGTAAGCATGTTCTCACTCATTTCAGCATGTCAGCATGGTTTTAGCAAAGATTGGTCATGTCAGCAAGACTCACTGCAGACAAAACAGGGTTTGGGTTTCCTGTAAGCTCATTTGAAAGGTTTCTTGGGTACAATCTTCTGCTTTTAAAAATATTTCTTACTGTATTTTTTTCCATTCAGCTTGTGAAGGCGATAGATACGGACCCTTGTGTGGTGAGACATGTAGCCCGAATTGCCTCACTCAGCCTCAGTCTGGGGACCGGAACTGTTCACAGTCAGACGGAACCTGTCTATTGGGCTGTTTAACAGGCTGGCAGGGGAACAAATGCGACAAAAGTAATTAAAAAAATAAACATTCAAAGTTTATTCACATGAAAAATAAAAAAATAGAGAAAGTATGTGTCCTTTGATAATGTATTGAATTCTAATATATTTCAACTTGATAAGTAGATGGACATCTGTTTTATGTGCCTGAATCGATAGATCGGGGCATATATTGTTTTTATCCTGTCTCTCTGCTTGTCTGTCTGTTTATCTGTTTGTCTGTCTGTTGTCAACTTTAACCTTCGATATAACTTTTGAACCATAGGAGATAGAGACTTCATACTTCGTATGCATACTTCACTAATTAAGTTCTTTCAAATGACACCAAGGTCAATGACCTTTGACCATAACTGTGACCTATATGCTAAAATAGCTTTTTCGAACTTTCGCCATAACTTTTGAACCATAAGAGATAGAGACTTTATATTTGGTATGCCTACTTCACTAAATTTCTTTCAAATGACACCAAGGTCAATGACATTTGACCTTGACTGTGACCTAAAAATGTGCTAAAAATAGCTTTTTCGAACTGTGTTGCCGCCGGGCGCATAGTGTTTCACAAACACATCTTGTTTATTTTGTAGTTTGTTCACCCGGTACATTCGGAGATGGATGTAAAAGTACATGTATTGGGAACTGCCTTGAAGGAGACACTTGTTCTCACATCAATGGGACCTGTCCCCGGGGTTGTGATAAAGGGTGGGAAAATTTCCATCCTTGTGATAAGTGTAAGTAGTGTTAGTGTATAATAATCTCTGTAGCTACATACACCGTGCATAGAAGGGAATGTTTAATTTAATAATGTTACTGTACTAAATGTAAGTAAAAAAAAAAAAAAATTAGTGTGTTCTTTGACAGTAATTTTAATCTGCAATTTTGTGTTACTGGAGAGTGTCGTGAGTTAAAATTTGTGGTGACTGATTACAGTTGGCTAAACATGAATATTGTGATTACTAATTTCAATGAAAAATTCTTCCAAAATAACATTTTTTTGGTATTTTGAAGAAAGAACAAACTTCTAGCAAAGAAGTTAGAATATGTACATATCGGTATAATTTGATAGAAGTCTAACATGTACTTTGCGTTTAGATCAAAGGCTTCATTCATGTATAAATTCTTTGACAGATATCTTTTTTAACAAAGAAAACAGTACATGGACTCGCTTGTTTAGTTCTTTTGATTTCTAAGACGTCATTTAAATGCAACTTATTTTGGCGGGCAGCTTGTACAAACAACACGTATGGTGTCGGCTGCTCCCAAACCTGCAGTACAGGATGTGTCGACGGCGAATGTGATAGAAGAAATGGAACGTGTTTGAAGGGATGTCGAGAAGGATATAGGGGACCCAAATGTTCAAGTATGATATACATGTACTAGTATCTCAAAATAAAATTTCCAACATTTTATTGGGTCTTTGTCCATTCTGTCTTTACTGGAATAAATGTTTAGGTCTTAAGATTCAGTAGGACAGACTGAAAGATAAATTCTTAGTTTCATTAAATTTTTGAACTTTCCAAACAAGGACGCCTTCCAAATGTTTGATATGCTTATCATTTTCTTTGGTGATCGAGTGTTTAGTTTATACAGGTAATAAAAATTCACTCAAAAAATTTACAATGCAGAGTGCCCCAAAGGAACATACGGGAAGAACTGTGCATTTAACTGTGGAAAATTCTGTGGGAACGGGACGTGTGACTTAGTCACCGGAACTTGTCCACAGGGACAGTGTGCTAGAGGGTGGAGTGGTCTCAAGTGTGATGTGGGTAAGAGGATTACTTTATTACATTCGTAACAGAAATTTACTTTTAAACTACGGATCAGGTTTGTGTTTCAATACAGCGGTAAGCAAATTTTTATTTGTAAATGCGAAATAATACATGTCACAAAAATTAATGTATTTGCATTTCTATTATTTTCTAATGTTTCAGATACCTGTTTGTATACATATGGTAAGTATAATCAAATATAGGGGGTTTAATATTGCGCAGTATTTATGAAAAAGGTTAAGATAAAAAAACAGAGATTGATCTTTTAAAAAGTCAATAAAAATACAACTCTATGAAGATGGCATAAAACACAGTAGCCTGTAATATCCAGAGGTCAGGTGCCTAGGAGGATTAAGCATCCCCTATTGACCGGTCACATCCGCTGTGAGATCCATCTATCTATCAAGTTACATTGTCAAATTCGATATAAAAACAAAGGCCTAACAATTGGTGTGAAACAAATCGCCAAAATACGATCCAATTATAAGTTATACAATGTTTTTGCCAACAAGGTCATGGAATTTACGAAATGCTGACTTCATACAAGGTTGTTGAAATCCCTGGAACATCATTTACCAGTCGCCTGCTCCAGTTATGATCGTTCTTGAAGCATGCTCTTGAGTACCAAATGAGGAGATGTAAACACCGTATGCAGGTACAAGCTGGATATAACTAGTGATGAGATAAAAAAGAATGTTGATGATGGAAAGGCGGAAGCAATCTCTCTTATCACACAATTCAGTTGTTCGTTGGCTTATTGTCTATAGTCTTTGAAACATACCAAGATTAGAAGATTTTGCAGACTATTTGCCGTCTCTTCATTAATTTAAGTTCGAATTGTTATATGAATATTAATGGACGTATTTATTGTTAATTGATAAAACATTTCTTTATCCAAATAACAAAAAAAAACTCGTGAGCAAGGCAACAGCAATTTCTTGTCATGTAGATATTTTTTTTAATTCCCCTCAATAGGAAAATAAAATCAAAAGGTCAGTAAAAAAAGTAAAATGAGTGCCCATCAGAATTCAAACAGTATGTTGGAACACATGGTCTCCAAAGACAACAGAAATTTTCCAATGAGGAGCTCTAGCATTCCTGTAATATCAACTTAAGAATACTTGTGTCTGGAATCAGAGTGACTTTTAATAAAGTTGATGACTTATCAAAAGATTTTAAGATTTCTGACTTCCATTTTTATTGAAAAAGCAATTCTGTATGATATTAAAAAACACTTCAGTTTTTAGCTCTACTGGTCAGAGAACAGAGGAGCTTATGCGATAGTAAGGTGTCCGTCGTCCATCCGTCTGTGTAGCTGTCCGTCTGTCTGCATGTAAACAATTTTTCAAAACGGTACTCCTCCTATAGTTTTATTCTGATTTCAATATAACTTGGCACACAAGTAGACCACAATTACATACATAATTGTATTTATTGCTGTCTGTTGCGAAGTTTCAAATCCAAGTGCTACTTTTCCTTAGTTATACGTACAGACCAGTAGAGCTACAGTCTCATCAGAGACTTCTGGTTATCATATGGTGAGGAATGATTATGTATACGAGTAGTTCTCATGAGATATGATGTTGTTAACTTGGACGATTTCAAATTTTCTAAAAATTCTCTCAGAGTCTTTGAGAATCCACCTCTGATTTACACATTTAGAATATATTGTAACACAGTACGTATGATTTTTCTTTCGTACAGCTGATTGTATTTTTGTAAGACGTAATAAATATAGGGGATATGAAGAGCGCTTAAATCACTCAACCGGCGATGTACTTGTATATCTCTTTGTAAGGATTTTTATGAAGTTTAGAAATCCCATTTACATGTATATCCAATTTTTGATTCCTCGACACCAAAATATATTTAATCACAAAAGGGTGTAGTCTTGTATTCCACCATATTTCAAGATAAGTACTACACCTTGTACTAGTATTACCTACAAATATATATCGACTTTTGCTTCCAAAATTTTTAATTACAAGAAAACTTTACAGGGCCGCAATATCGAATATCTGAACCTAATCCTCCATCTTGGTCATATTCCTCTTCATCATATACACTGTAACATCTTAAGCGTAAGTAAATAAAATATTCCTGCTCTTCTAGGATTTGATTAAGTCAAGTAGACAAAAAGAATATTTTTTTAATAGGCCTATTGCTTTACAAAGGTTTTGTTAGTTATTTCCATTCTTATGTTGATACGATGTATTCCGGTGAGCTTGAGATAAAAGATACCACAGAGTCTGACACATCATATTTGGGTATTTTACTTAAGAAAAATGTTGATGGTAATCTAATAACCAAATTCTATGATAAAAGTGATGACTTTGATTTTTCAGTCGTCAACCCTTAGTTTTGCAGCAGTATACCTTCATCACCTGCATGCGGAGTTTTTGATTAATTCAATATGCAAGAGAATGCTCTACGTATGTACAATTTCTTAAACAAAGTTAGTTATTGACAAACAAGTTGATGAAGCAAGAATATCTGCAGTCTCGTTTAAAGTCATCATTTGATAAGTTGGTTGATACAATGACCTTGTCGGCAAATACAGTTTTTCATTAACTCAAATGATGACTGATATTTTTCATATCGATCTACACAGTGTATTATTTTTTCCCCTTTATTTCTCGATCATGACAAGGAGCATACGGCGGGTGTGACCAGTTGGCAGGGGATGCTCATTCCTACATGGTACCTGATCCCACCTCTGATGTTTTGGAGGTCTTTGTTCGCTCTGTTCCTATTTTGTAATGTTTAATGGACTTTTGAATCCTGTTCGTACCTCCATATATTTTATTCACAAATCGCGAAACTATATTTATCAGAATTTACATGCTTAAATCATACGTGTACATTTATCTTGATGTAGATCATTAACTATAGTTAACGATCATTAATACTTTGCAGATTTAATAATGGTTTTGCAAGATAAATTATGATTTACAGTGCACATTTTGCCAATCATTTTTTATCTTCATAAAATACAATTTACACTCATAAACTATAGCTAAGATTTGTTAAAATATTTAATGAATCTAACCACCATTTAGTTCATTTTTCATTATCTCGCGGAAGCAATCGCCCGGGACATTACTTCATGTAACTGTATGTCATTGTCATACGTAGGTTCCCTTAAAAATGAAAAGAAAAATTCTGCATCACAATAAACAAAATTTTTTAAGTAATTTTTCTTCTTCTCGTTTGGTACATATGTAGCAGCAATACTCGTGCAGTTATCTTTGTCTGATCAGCACAAAAGGCTGAAATGGCGACAGGGTTCATTTTATTGCTGATAAAAAAAATAGTCTCTATCAGTAATGTTTAGAGATTTGAAATGTAGATTAACATAGTTAATTATAAACTGTAGGTAACTCGATAGATTTAATTTTTAAACTTTTAAAGTATGTTTAAAGTATCTTTCTTGTGAATTTGACCTACCATGCCATGTGATAGGTCTTGCATTTTCTTACCTTAGCATTGATATGTTTGGGTTATTTTCAAACAGTTCGATATTTTCAATTTTCTCATTAAATCAACATAAACCTTTTTTGTACAGAGGAGAGATGGTGGGATTTTTTCACATTCCTGGTGGGTTGTGGGATTGGGGTCGGAATCGCTGCCATTCTAATGATTACTGTTTTTGTCATCTACAAGTAAGTTGGGTTTGCTGGAATGCTTCGAAAGTAGTCATACTGACCGTCATATTATTTAACCTTGCTCAATAATTAATAGAGAAGTTTTTGAAAGCAGAATTCATTGAGATTGAAAGGAGAACAGCATGTTACGTGTCATCTTTATAAATCTTCAGGAAAGTAAAACTAGAAAGACAGACATGTTGATTACGATGATTTTTGTGATACTAGTGATGCAATGTATTAAGTCTACACTTTTTGTTAAATGAAAAACTTCTAAATATAAACTTTTCCATAACTACATAAAAATCTAAATAATATTTATTTTAAACTTTAATTGTAAAATTTCATTTCCTTTAAACATTACCGTTTATTCAAAACTAATGAAGCTTCAAATATGATGAAAATTTTGGAATTAAGATTATAAATACTACACGGTTGTGCTTTATAGATTTCGATGCCAGACTACCTCGCGGCCAATGAATCGGGCCGATCATACAAACGCCAGACAAGATGAACAAATGGAGCTGGCCCAAGGCTACAAACTCTAACCCCCTCCTCCTTAATTTCCAGGTTCATGAGAAGTCGCAGAGAGACCAGGTTTATGAATGGGTCCCAACAGGCCGTCACAGGGGGTGTTGTACAATTGAATGTCTTTAAGTAGTTAGAGACATTCCTATATAGATGTGATAGAAACTAAAGAAACTTTTGATCAATGGTGGATGTAAAAACTAGCAAAGATATTGTTGCATCATTGTTAACTTGCAATTGATGATAAAATTATATCAGATGAAATTATCTAATGAAAAGTGTCAACCAATTCAATAAATTCATCCATCATTATCAATAGGGATAAGTGTATGTATAGTGTTACGTATGTCGACCACTTTTGTGACTTTGTCAGACACGATGTTGTACTTTTGCACTGCCGTATTGTGTTACATGTTCTACCTATTTTGGTGTTAAAAAAATCAATGCATGACAATAAACCAAAAATTAATTTAAAATGTATGTAATTTTATATACAAGTAACATTTAGCATTTACCAATTGAAAACTTATTATCGGTTTTCACATATTTTATAATTTGTATAAAGACTAGTCGCATGTAGGAGCTAGTTTGAATTGTCATTTTTTGGTTACAAAGAGTATATATTAGTTGTTGTTAATTGTGAAGTAAGTTTATTGTTTTTATTAGCTCTACTGATCAGTTTATGCGAATGTAAGGTTTCCATCGTTCGTCCGTCTATTTGTCTTGTCTAGCTGTCCAGCTGTCTGTAAAGATTTTCAAAACTTTACTCCTCCAAAAATTTTGGAATGATTTTAATATAACTAGGCACATAGTCAAGTAGACTACTATAAGATATATAATTTAGTGCATCGAATTTTGAACTTTTCTCTACCTTTGAGAAAAATGAACCAGTGGAGCTACAGTCTCATCAGAGACTTCTGGTTATAATTTTACGCTTGCAAAATCACTAGTATTTTAGATAAAAATATTATATTTAACACTTTTATGCACTGAACACCTTACCAGGTAATCATCACGATGGACTAAATCTCACTTAATATATGTAGCCCCATTTTTAACCTCTATTGATCAAAGATTATATCTCAATATCAAAGTTGTGTTGTAATGCAGGTAGAGTATACTATAGATAGTTGAGGTGACAATTTTCTTTTCCTTTAATATAACCAATAGACAGTCTATCGGATTATAAACTTACCTTTCAAATCTCCAATAAAGTACATATCTCGACAACTTATACCTCATTTTACTGTGAATTTTTTTATGACAAAAGATTATTTTTACTGATACATTTGGATAGTATTTTTTATGTTTAGTATTACAAATATTTCTTTGATTTTGTATTTTTGAATACATGTACATGTACTAGTAATTACAAGTTTAAAGAGGGGAATTAAAATCAATTGTAAATAATATTACATTTAATTAGATGAAAAAATATTAATTGCTTTATAATTAGTGATACATGTATATTCTAATTTGATTTTTCTTTTTATACTCCTTAGTATTGAAATATGCAAAATAGAATATCCTCTGAATGTTTTATGTGTATGTAAATGCTACATCTTTTATCAAAGTTGTGGATTGTATTGGTGCTAATGGTTTGTTAGAAAGGTGATTTTTTATACATTTGTAAGTATATTAATATTTAAGAATATCATTTTATAGCTAAAGAGTATGTGACCGTATACATGGTTGATGGGATATTTATATGGGATATATTTATATTTGTTGTGTTTAGCAAAAAAGAAAATGCCATAATAAATGTTTCTTAAACTATTAGAGAAAACACTACTTGTAATAAATTTGTACATTATTGTAAGAATTAGGGTCGACATTATTCAGATTTTGTATAGTTTTATAAATTCTTCATTCTGTAAATGGAAGCTTCAATGTATTATGTTGCGTTAACTTTACTGTATCCTTTTAAATCTTAACAAAATAAGTTTACATTGTACATCCTTTAGTGATCTGTAAGTTTGCACTGTAACTCAATGAAAAAAAACTATATTTTTCATTGAAGGGAAAGTTAGATAAAACTTTTTCCCCTTTCCTTAAAGTATTTTGTTAATTGTGAGCATCATTGTATTCCATAGTTATACATGTAACCATGGCTGTAAGCACAAAAAGAATGTTTTTTTTGAATGTCCGACTTCAGAAAATGTTTGAATGTAGTTGTTGAAGTAAATGGGAAATTATATCTCTGTGTCTTTCTTACCTATCAATTTAAAAGTAACTACAGCATAGTTATAGACCTATGAATATTATGAACGACAATTATAATAATTTTACTATAATCAAGGGAAAAGGTTAATATGTGCTTTTTCAACCAAAGTCTGTATTATCTTAAATTAAGGGAACCAGTTTCAATTGAGCTAAAGGAAAAATTTATTTTAATCGTGATATGGAATACATGTAATCGTGTGACTTGTTTCAAGAAGTTCTTCTGTCTTCTCTGTATTTGCTCCCATCTTCGAAAATACAGGGGCTGGGAATGGTGGTATTACAACCTTGGGCAAGGAAGATTTACCGGATTTGCGAGAGCAAAGTGATGTAAAACACACTTGCAAGTATTTCTCTTCCTGGACTTATCTAGGTATATATACATGTATAATTTTATCAAACTTGTGATCAAAACCGATAGGATATCACACAAAGCACCTAATACACTATCTATATATAGCTGCATAAAATGATTTTTTATTTATAAACATCTGAATGCTCTCTGGACACTTCATATTAACGAGTGGAAGAGTTATGGACCCGATGAGGGAGAATGCAACTAAAGAGGAAGAATGTTGTGTTTGCCGCGGGTCGTCAACCATTTATATTCTTCCTTGTCATCACTCACACTGTCAACATTGCTTCAATATATTGGAAGGAAAAACTATCCAGTGTGGAATTTGCCACTTCACATATACGATTTCTCAAGACAGGCAAGAAGTTTCTGATGAGGAAGACGGACGAAGCACGTCTCATGTGTGGATTATTACTCAGAACGAGGCTTGTTCTAGAACAGAAGTTTGGTGCTGCAAATGTGGCACACAAAATACCAAGTGTCTAAACAGAGGTGCTCGAAGCTTGTCTGAAAGCAGTGCCTTTGAAAATGGAAATCAGTCAGATGCTTACCAAGACAGCGAGGATGATCCGGAAATTTTCATGTCAACTGTATCGTCGTTAGATTTCAACTCCCTCTTAGAATCTTCCGAGATGGAAACAACTGCGTCCGACTTTTATAGCAGTATTAATTTGGATAAATGCACTGAGCATGGGTACGCTTTGTCAAATTATTGTTTTTCTCATGAAATACCGTGTTGTCCTGATTGTACCACTATACACCATAAAGTTTGTGACACACTGGATATCCATAAGGCGGCAACAGATGTCCCGAGCGAGTCAGAAGTAAACCGTCTTAAGCACAGTCTATGTTCATTAACTGACATTCACCAGGGTATGATTTATGAAATGGAGAATAACATTGCTGAAATTGATAAGGAAAGCAAGAAGATCTGGACAACATTTGAAGAGTTCAAAGCTGCTGTACAGAACAAATTGAAAAAACTGGAGGATAATGTCAAAGCTCAAATTCAAGAAACAGAAAGCAAGCAAAATCACCTACAGACCGATTTGAATGATGTCAAAGAAAGATGCAAGAGTTTGCAAAATACTAGAACGCAGTTGGAAGGTTTAACCTTTGGCAATGCTGAAAGTCTACAACTGTATTGTAAAGCAAAAGCGAAAATGGGGGAACAAAAACGATTTATCCACACTCAAAGACAAACTATGTTTAAATTTAGAGTTAGCATAACAGAACATCAGCATCGAATCAATCATCTTGAACAAATACCCAACTTAATTCAAACAAAGGTAGATAAGGCTAAACTAGAGACATTAAAGAAAATGAAATGTTCAGAGAAGCTGGAAGTCAGACGATGGACCCGCACAAAACTATCACACATTACGGGTATGTGTTACCTCGAAGATGTGCTGGTTATCTGTGACAACAGCAAACAGCGAATTTTTACTTTGGATAGTCGACGAGCCTGGTACTGTATTAAGCTTCAACATTCCCCTTGGGATGTGACGCCAATTGAAGCGCAAAAAATCGCCGTGTCAACCCCATCCGGTATCCAGATTGTAGACTTAAAATTCCTTCCAGACAAGAAATTGGGGTTTCCATCGTTCTTGCCAACAACTTTCCAATGTTTTGGGGTGAGCTATCTCTCAGGAAACTTGTATATTGCTAGCAATTCGCATATATACATAATCCGTATTGATGGCAGTCATCTTCGAACTATCAAATGCAAAGGTTTTTCTGTGCAGCACGTCTGTGTCAAAAATGCTGATTGTATTTATTACTCAGACACTAATTCCAATCGAGTGTTCTGTGTGAATTCCGTTGGTGACATTTTAAAGGTATTTACATCTGACTATATGGAAGCTCCCAAAGGCCTAGCTATCGGGCCCAGCACCAATATCTTGGTTGTAAACTCCCTTTCAAAAACTGTTCATCGTTTTACGATGGATGGCCATCTAGTAGAGTCGCTTGAAATGAAGAGTAAAGATATGGACAATTCTGGACCGGAAGTTATTTGTTCCAATAAAGACTCTTGCGCAATAGCGGCAAAACAGATTATCTACAGATGTCTTTTTGTTTAAAATTCGCAAAAAAAGTCAAAGCATGAATTCATGCGTCTGAATAGATTACAAGGTATTTCTATATCCAAAAACGAAACAATATGATTTTAAAATAGTGTAACATTTATTAAAAAAAAAAAAACACCTTCTATTATAATTTTTTTGGATTAACAATTTACTTAGAATGAGCTATTTAATTTATAATTTTTTCATATGTATTATGATACTTTTCTGTCTATTTGATAACATTTAATACATGCTAAATTGAAGAGAAAATAAGAATTAAAATTTTATCGATGTACAATTAGAGTACTTGATTTGGACTACAATGTATTTTCACGATAAAAAAAAAATTCAAAACATGATGTACATGTAGATCAAATGATTAGATATATGGCAAAATGACCTCAATAAAATTAATCAGAATCTATTGAACTTCAGAATCCTGAATTGTATTTTTGAAAAGAGCTAATTAAATAGTACCAACTTTGATCAAATGTTATGTCTCAAGAAAATAATAAAGGAGAAATAAATCTAGAATGCCTTGGTATTCTGTTGAAGATAAAGGTCAATAAATACGGTGTTGAACAAAATGAACTAGACCTAACCTCTAAAATATGAGTTTTAGTGTCCCCAAATAATTTTTCCAATGTATATGTATTAGTACCGCTGCATTTCATTTCCGGAAATATGCATAGCATTTCCGACATTTTTTGTTTTCATTTCCGACATATTTTTTTTTTCATTTCCGGAATTTACCTGTGCGGCAGTTCAATGTTTTCTAAGTAAAAGGAAATGGAATTTTAAAAGTATTTATACCAAAATATTAATGAAAAAAAAATAAAAATAAAATCTATACATATGTGCATACTTGTAGCACTAAGTCTAGGTAAAAAAAAGTTCAATGAGCATAAAACTTTTTCACCACATTTAAATGTGCATTAAATTAAATGTCAGTGTCATCACCATATTTATGTCCAAGTCACTGATAGATTTCCAAAATTGGATTTCAATGACTTATTTATGATTTATTCCTTTATATTTTTTATAAATAAAGTTATCAAATCTGTTACTATAGGTACTACTTATGTATTTGAAAAATGTCGGAAATGAAAACAAAGTTGATAATTTCCGGAAATGAAATGCATACTACAGCAAACAAAGCCACTTTATGATCCCCCTCTCAATAATGACGTCTATGGTCTTATTTTATTACTTTTCGAAGAATTTTAATTTGCTTGATATCAAGGTGCAAACTGCAATATTTTTCTACAGGCTTGATAGGTAGAGTTATCAGACCCAAATACTGAGATGCCTGTACAAAGCCATTCGGCAAAGTGCTGGTTGCCTTGAGAACTTAATGTATAAATTTCACGTTTGATAATTAAAGACGTATCTTGCCCTGGCTTTCATCTTTGTGATGCCTGTAAAACTAATGTGTCCACACTGCAAATTCCACAGAATTAACTGAGGAACACCTTTAAATTCAAATACTAGTATATCAAAGTGGTTCAATCTACAAGGTGGCATAAAAAAATCATTGTGGTCAAACATTAGGTTGTCTTAGTTTTAGTTTTATAGCTCAACTGTTGAATAAAGCTTTTTTCTGACTTTAGCAATCATATTTCAGCTGCATGAAATTTTGTGTAACAACACATTTTCTGAATTCTAATGTCTTTAAATATTTCTATAAGAACATCTTAGTACATTGAACCAATCACAGTGCTTAAATTTAGTAAATTCATTATCTTTTAACTATCAAACAAATATAAGTACTTGTTTACTTTCAAAATGTTCAGATTTATTGACATTTAACATCATCTCCATGTACAAAGTGCTCTAAAATACATGTACCGGTAATTAGTATTTGATAAAATTACATGTACATACATTAACATAGGTATTATGATATTAAATAGAAATGATCAGTTTTGTTGGTTGCTGACATCTCCATCTTATTCAAGTCTCTCACAAAATTCACAGATAAAACCCCTATTTAATTTTCCTTCATCAGGACTCGGCATCAAGAACTCGAATCTTTTTCTGTAGAACTTGCTTTGGAAATAGCTCCTCCCTCATGATGTCGTCTAACTCATTGTAAGCCAGTATAATCTGTCTCCGTACCCCCTCGTCTTTCTCTGATCTCTCAGTCAGCTTCAGGAGCTGGTACAAATCCCTTATCACTGACCCCAGCACCTGAAAAATATATAAAACTTTAAATTGGAACAGTGAAATGTCAGAATTAGCTTAATCAAAATTTGATTACAAAAATTGTTTATTCTGATGTTCAAGTTGAATAGAAGTGGCACCTATATCCGTGTAAAATGAAAAATTTCATGAATACAATTACATATGTACATGTATCTATAATATGATTACCCTCTTATCTCAAGGATATTGCTCATTGGGTATTCTTTTATATACAATGTACTACTACAGGTATTGTGATGCCAAAATGCATGATTTTTGCAAGAAAGTGATGAAATAATGTGACTTCCTAAATAAAGAAAGTGTACATTATTGATAGTAAACTCTAAAATGTATGATAAACAGAATTTTCCATGATTTGTTTTTAGAGATGATATTTATCATACTACTAACAGGATTTTTATTCCTTTGTCAAGGTTTGGGAATAAAAAATCACACAAAACTCAGTGGATAAAATCACATCCAAACATAAAGCAAGAGAGGTCCTTTTTTAAACTATATTTATACATGTAAAGTGAAAAAGTTAATCATCATTAATATCTTGAACTGTTTTGTTTGTTTGTTTGTTTGTTTTTTTTTTTGTTTTTTTTTTGGGGGGGGGGTCATTTTACTGAAGTAAATGAAGTGATATGATTTTGAGTACATGTACCTGTAAAACACTTTTCCCTAGTCCTCTTAAAATCAGTGTTAGTGTCAAGGCTGAGGCCTTCCTAACTTCCACATCAGAATCTGACTTTAGCAGAGCACTGCAGCATGTAAAAACCTGTAAAATTAAAGGGATGCTTTATTCAGGGCCTTTCAATTAACCTTTGAAAAGAATGGCTATAATCAATCTTTCATTTTGTTTGGATAAAAAAAAAATTTTTCTCAACAAGTATGGTCAATGAAAGAATTTACATTATTTTCATATCATTGACAGGTCATTTTAAAATGCTCAAAATTTCAGCTTTATTTTCACCTCTTGAATAATTGGGCCCAGGTTAAACCTCAGGACTGAGCAGACCTCTCCTAAATTAGACATACTGCTGGCCCTAATTAGAGGATCAGGATCCTTGGCACCCATTAGGAAGGCAGATACTAGTACATCTCTGTACTTTGGAGCAAGATCACCTGAAAAAAATGTCCAAAATGTTTAAGAACTAATTTAATTATAATTTTATTTAAAAACCCCATTTTTCATGCAAATACTGTACATGATAAGAAAAACTAGAGTGGCGTTAACAAACACATCATGTTACAGAGTGTTTAACAGTATAAGTCAGTGAACAAAGAGAACATACCTAGCTTTCTTGAGCTCTGCACTAGACATTCCCCAATCTTCATTCTTGTCTCTGCATCATGTCTTCCCTCCGTGTTGACGTTTGACCTGCTACATTTGACCTTATCAGTCTCAGTTAAGCTGCCTCTGTATTCCTGGACCAGACGAGGAATGATAATGTCAGGAAAGATGTCTGCCATGGCCACCAGCCCATTAACAGCTGCCAGGTACAAATAGGAATCTGGGTGAGTTAGATTCTCCTGGAAGATCTTCAGGAGGTTTTCCTGTTTATTTAAAGCCTCTGGGTCCTTATTTTTGATCAGCTTACACATAGTAATCAGAGCGTGTCCCCTGACTGGGATGAGAGGATCACAGATTTCCTCCATGGCTTGGTCCAATGCTGTCTGACCAGCTTTTGTCTTACTTCTGTCGTTTTCGGTGTTTTTGTTGACCTGTTGTGGCTGAGTTTCACTAGAAGACAACTCCTCAATGAGAGGCTTGGTTTTGCTTTTTCCTGAGTTTGGTGAGTCTTTATTCTGTGGTGCCTGTATTTAATTTGACGGTATAGACCATTAGAGTACACATGTATTGCACAGCGATTAACAGCAGAAAAGTTGAAATTCTCACAAAAAAGCAGGGAAAAGATTAGAAATGTTACAAAGAAATTGTGTTTTGAGTGATGTACTCCAAATTACTGTTTTAGGATAACTTCAACATACATGTACTTGCACAAAAGTCAATGTCTTTTGTTTTTATCTTTTACTCTTAAAATCTAAGTAAAAAATGGCAAAGCACACTTCTTGTTTTAGACAGATCTGCCACAGTATATTAAATATTTTCTAATGTTGACTCTAGGCTTTAAATGATGCTCAGTTCAAACCTTCTGTTTCAGTTTCTCTGACCACACTACTCCATGTGTTGCTATTGCAATCCTGAGATCAGATGCCATTTCCTGTATACTGGGGTCAGCATGTACCCTACTGACTTCATCCAGGAGTGGCATCAAAGTACTCATATCACTCCAATCCTTATCACTCATCTACAAATCACAAAAATACATGTATATGTAAGTTTCTAAGATGTGTAAGATGATATTACTTCCATTTTAACACTTGTATAGCTTCAATTCAGATGCAGTATTGTCTCTCTTAGTAAAAATTCTGTATTCTGCGAGTTATTCCACCCATAAAAAGTGACAAGGAGCATGATCAAGAACAGGTTATACCTCCACAGCTCCTGAGAGCATGGCTGTCAATAGACCCATCGCCATGGAAAGGGTCTCACTCTCAAAATATCCAGTCAGCTCATCCTCTGATTGGCTACAAATCTGGATAGCTCTCTCTAGTGTGGCCTATAGATACAGATATTGTGTGTAATTCTAACTAGATAACAAAATACTTTATTCAATATTACAAGAAAAAGGTATCAAATGGCTTTAACTTTATTTTTTAAAAATAATTCTGCATGATAAACAACTTGACAAGGATAGATAAATCTTCAAATCTTTGACTTGTTTGGATAAGCAGACAGACCTGCACAAAACTGAGTGTCTGGGAGGGACTTTTGATACAGCTGGGTCCTAGATCTTCACACAGCTGTGCAAGCACATTGAGGACTAGGATTTTCTGATCACATGACCTCAGCTCTCTATTGTGTCTCTCCTCAATGTCCAACAGACACTGTGAGTCTGAGGAATTAGGAGTGGGAGAGGACCCTGCTAATGTATTGTCCTCACTGGATATTTCATTTGTTATTATCCTTTGTAGCTCCTTAAAAAGAAAGGAATAGGTATAATGTATGTATGAGCTTAAAAATTTATTGAGTCAAGTTTTACATATTTCCATATTATCATCCCTGTGCCTGTCAAAATAGTTTTGATTCATTCATCGTTTTTCAGTCCTTGCAACTACATATAATAACAGATTAACACATTTTTAAGTTAGAAATATGTGTCAGGTAAATTGATGAGAGATTATGCCATCATCAGTCAGAGATATACATTCACTGCAGCCCTGTCCATTTTGCTGTCAAAAGTACATTGTATTTTGGATTCAAGTGCATATATCTAACAGTCAAGGGCAAAACTTTCAAGACTAAACAGGTAAATAAACATTCAAACAACAAAGTCTCTGTCTTGCAGGAACCATTATACCAAGCATAGTAATTATGAGTAATTCTTTCATTTACTTCCTTAACTTCCTGCTTCATCTCTCTGGTTACCTTTAATGTGAAGATGAGGAAATCCCCTGTGACCCCTGTATGCTTTAGAGGTTTAAGAATGTCAACTAAGGCCCTCACCACTCTGTTGTGGTTCCTTTCACCTGTATCACTGGAAATAAAATAATACTCCTGTAAATTTGAAAACTATTACCTCCTACTGCAATACTGACAAGGTATGAGTAAAGTCATACCAATAGTCTAAACCATTTAGTCTTCGCCCATATTCAAAAAATGTTTTCTTCTAAATTAATCAATTTTTATTTTGAGTAAAGAACGAGAATTTTTTTAAAAAAAATATACAAATTCAGTGCATCTAAATGCTTACATAAACAGTTTTATCTTTGATCCTAATTTTTGGACAAGAGATTCTGAAAATCTGCACAATTCTTCCAAATACCTCTATTCAGTAAAAATATGAAGACTTTTATTTACACAATGTCCAAGTAAATTAGAATAACAAAAGGGCAACATATCCCACACACCATACCTCTGAAGTCGTGTTGCTATTTGGACACCACCTTGATCTCCAGCCACAAAGATCAGACCTGGACTCATGACTTTCATGGATTTTGTACACGTATCTGTGTGGTTCTGTAGAAGGAGAAATTTCAACACAGACAAACAAAGTGGTGGATCTAAATTCTTCAACACAGATACTAGGACTTCTTGTGATGATGAACTGAAAAAATGAAAGATTCGCGGAAACTTTTTATATAAGGTACATGTATCACTGCATTTCTTTGTATTGTGTAAATAGATGCTAAAGACTTCTATATTACATGTAAAAAAGAACAAATTCCATTATTTTTTTTAACATCCTAGATTTCAAGTATTCTATTTTTTTTTTTTTTGTACATGTACATATCTAAGTGACTTTGTATACTTTACCTCAGATGTGAAGTCCCTCCTCTTGTGAAACAGAACATTTCAAAAAGAGGCTGGCAGACAGGAAGTAATGAGGCATACAGGGGGCTGCTGGGATCTGCACCTCCAACAAATACCTACAGCACAGGGGGACAATAAAAATCTAAATTTACCAATGCAACTTGGGGCCGCTGGGTTCTATCTCCCAACCCCCACCCACCCCAACAAACACCCCAAACACACAGGGAATATAAGAATTTAGATTTACCTATACAACTTAATTTTATGACTAGGTTCTGTCTCCTGACCCACAACCCCCACCAAATCCAACACCCCTGCAGCACAGGGGGAATGTAAGATTCTAAATTTATCTATACAACTTATGATATACGCAGTTTGAAATACTAATCATATTGAATATCATTCAGAACGAAAAGGAAATGAACATATAAACATGTAAATTGATAGAGAAAGCTACACATTCCAAAACTGAAATTTATCAATTTCAGTTCTACCCAGGTGAAACTATATAATGCACTTTAATATTGCAATCTCTATTTAATACACATAATTAGAGAAATATACCTTGTGTAGTCCCTCAATACACTCTCTGATTTCTTTTTCATCCACAATGATAAAATGGCCATCTTGTCTGGTTTCTTTTTCTGGAATTAAACATGTCCATTGGTGAGAAATTTTTCTTAAATCACTGAACACAAGTTATACTAAAGTAATGGAGGATAAATGATTGATTTAGACTAGACTGAACATGTCTTAGAGGGTAATTGGTTGATATGGATAATGGACTTACCCTTGTACTCAGTGATCAGTATGAGGGGTCGACACAGCGGCCGTATTAAATGTTTATCTGTAAGTACCATATTCTGGGCTGCCATTAGGGAGATAGTTGTACAGGCCACACGGAGCAGACCCTGCCCTATCTGTCTGTCCCTGGGGTGAAGCAGCTGCAAGATCTGTCAGTAGGATTCCAAAGATTGTTAAAATGTCAAATTGTTCCTTCTGGGAATTATGGTATACATGGGGAGCTGGGAACATTCCAAGAATAAAAATGAATGTATGGGTATGATACAAACATCCAAAGTGTACAGCAATGAAGTGTCTTAAGAGTATTAGAAAATGGGAAAGGGGACATTTTAGCTAGAAAATACAGATGATAATTTGAAAAAAAATATTTAAAGATTCCTAATACATGTATACACTACTTTATAAGGAAGAGACAAATAAAACCAGTTGAGAAATTTTGTAAGTTACGGTAATAAATTGGAATCATTTTGGCACCATAAATGTGGAAAAATACAGTCTCCCTATAACTGACAAAGTCCAGTGCTATTGGATATATGTCTACAAAATATTAGGTCTCTTTCCCATACCTGTGAGGAAATTTTCTGATAATACTCTTCCATGGATTCTATGTGGGAAGGACAAGTAGCTATCACCTTAGCAATGGCATCAAACTTCCTCCAATCAGGGGTACCAGCTTTACTGTCATCTGAAATGTACCAGTTTAACAGTACAACTGTACATTTAAAATTATCTCAGAGAGTTCTGGCTGTAAGGAAGAAATACATTCAATTTTTATAAATTTCAAGTAGGACAAGACTTCAGTTGAAATAACACATTTTATACCTGGTAGATTTCCCAGCATTCCCTTTATAATGTTGATAACTCCATCGGGTCCAGTTAAAATATCAGATAACATTCGGCCACAAATTCTTCTCAACCAGGGTGGTGACTGACACAGTGCAAATTTACGATTCACTGATTGCTGGATATATAAAATAGATTTTTTTAAACTCATTTTATATATTGTATATGAAATTTGCCATCAAAAAGGAATGATGACATTTGATCAAAAATATCAATACACAATTTACCTTTTTAGTAAAGTTGGGCCCAGGAGCACCTTGCAAGATTAAAAGTTCCCTGACGACCAGGGCTGGATGAACTTTCTTCATAAGATCACTGAGGCAATTCTCACAAAAAGAAATATCTCTGGTATACTGTTCAAAATCAACATCTGTTGCCTTTTGATCATCTCTAATATTCACATGTGACTCGGTATTGGCTGATTTTGTACTTTTCTCTTTAGTTTGCAGTGAACACCTTGGCTGATCTTCAGAACTGTCTTTTGATTTGTCACTGAGAGAAGCTTTATTTTTATTTGTAATCATGTCAACAACAGTTGCTGGAGTCCACTTCCCTGCATCTGATTTCACTTTTTCTTCATCAGAAGCTCCACATTCATCCTTATGATCAGTATCTGCTTTAAACCTAATGGCGGACCTGCTTACAGATTTCCTCTCAGATCCTCCATGAATTAGTTGCAGTAAAGCAGCCAAAATGTCTCCAAAATGACAAGACAGTATGATCTGAGCCAACGATGGAGATTTCAGGCAGGTTACTAACACCCACAGCGTCTGAAGGAGCGACACACGGTGTTCCTCATCAGACAAGTTAGATGACACTGAGGATTCTAACAACACTTTAGCGTACTCTGACCGTCTCTCTATTGGAATTCCCACACCTGGTTGTAAGTGGGGACACACTCCCAGTACTACAATAAACTGTAGAAGGGATAGGACAGTTTTCTGGTGACTCACGCTCAGGGAATCAGGAGATAGGGGAGGGGCCTCATTTGGTTTTAACTCCCTCTTCTCCCCCTTTTTAAATTCAGTCATTTTTTCTTGCATGATGGTATGAAGTGTGTATAATAAAACTTCACAGACTTCAAGATATGTTTGAATTGTTGACTCTGTATTGCATTTATGTTTTAATTTGTGTCTATTTTCTTGAAAAAAGTTTTTGAATTCTAGATGTTTCTCTTCTTCCAGTGTTTTCCAAAATGCATCAAGACTATTTTTTAAGGCTGTATTAAATATGGAATGCATGTTTTCTATTTCTGCATCTGAAAACAGAAAATCAAGCATTAAATCACAGAATATATATATTTTAAAAATCTTACAAAAGTTTGCTCCACCTTGTTTTAATCTGTTTTGTTATTGTTTGTTTTTAATATTTTTTTTTAAGAAAAGGTAGTATCAAAATAATTTAATAGCTGCATACTTTCAAATTCAAGGAAAAATCTACAGACAATTAAATGTTTGTTACTTTTAAATTAAAGCTGTAAACATTTATACAAAGTATGTTCATATAACCTACCAGTAATTTTACAAATTAAAAAATATATGCATGTGTAAAAATCCAAGGTATTTATTTATGGATGGTATATTTTCATTTACTTTCAATAACTGTCATATACTGTAAATCACTTTATATTTGCATGAACTTTTTTTTCACGTAATTCGATCATGTGACGATATGCTCATGAAAATATTACTCTCATGTATATTAGTATTCCTTAGGCCATCACTAAAAATTTTTTTGATGTACTCCAAGTACTCCAACCCAAATTTTTTAAGGTGGGTAGTTAGGTAGTTTTTTTTGCTAAGCATTATTGATAAATTTGATAACTGTCATAAAAACCCATAGATTCAGAAATTTATTGATGTTTAAAATACATACTGGATAGTTAGACATATTTAATATTTATTACTATGAAAATTTTCAATCTAAAAGCATCCTTGAGAAATTATATACCTTAGCTCTCAAATGAAACAATGTCAATTTCTAATGAATGTACAATGTAATTTAAAAAACAAAACTAAAAATTCAAAGTGCTAAAAATGATTAGGCAAGGGAAATTTTGATAGGTTGGTTGGAGTGTATCAAACAAATCATTTTTATTGTTGGCCTTAACATAATATACAGCAGTAACATCAATTTGTGAAATTTGATCTTGTTAATAAAGAGTAAGTATCTTGCCAATTCAACTGTGTTGCAACAGACAACGTTTAACATTTCTTGTTAAGGTAGCTAAGGACACCTGACCCCAAAAAAACCTGTCAATAGATTTTGTTGAAATTTTCACAAGGTGTAAAGGGATGTGTAATGAACACTTAGTCGAAATATGAACATGGCATTGTGGGTAAATTACGGAACCAGGGGGTAATGAGTTACCTCCCCTTTCCAGTCACTCCAAAAATCATAATACAAGATAATTATTACCTATAAAAAATTTATTAGGCAATATGCATTCAATATTAAAAATTATTTTTAAACAATATTGATACTATTATCTTATTTAAACAATGGATTGTCTGAACATATATAAATTAAGAGAATAATCCATGTAGAACATTTGAAATTCGACCAATTTGGCCATTTTCATGCACACAAATTTGACACTTTTTAAATTCTAAAAAAAAATCTGTCCAATAGAATTTTTATTTTTTTTCATTATATGAAAGATCTGTCTAATACTATTCTTCACTCAAAAAATCTTGGTCACATTGAGGGCTAATAAAGGTACCAGATGGTCCACAACTTCCCCCCCCCCCCTCTTTTGGGTTCCCATCCTAAAGGTATGAATAACGATTAAAGTGGCTATTCAAAAAAATGCATAGCAAATTAGGAAAAAACAACTGAAGAAATAAATTAGAAGTAAAAATCAATTGCTAATAAATGACTAAAGAAAATATTTTTATGAAATAACAGTACATATAGAGTAATAACTTGGAAGAGTTACCCCCCCCCCCCCTCTCGCAATAAAACATGTAATTAAACCAATATTGAAATTATCCATAAAAAGTTCCTTAACAAAATTAAAATATGAATTTATATTTCAACAATAGATACTTGAACAAAAATGTAATTAAAAAAAACACATCTAAATATTCTTCAACATGATCCCGTTTGATTACATGTACTTTCATGCAAACAAATTCTTTGTTTTCTTATAGATTTCTAAAAAATATATTGTATGACAAAAATGTCCAATACTATTTCTCACTCAGAAATCTCGGCTGCATTAAGAGGCAATTAACTACATGTATTAAGTTACAGAATGGTCTAATACACCCCCTCCTTTTATGCATCTGATATTTTTTTCATTGCAATGTCAAAAATCCCCCTAATTATTAACATGTCAAATGTATTCTACTTAATTTGTCGAAAAATACATTTTGGTCATACAGAATAAAGAAATCCATCTGACATAGCACTGCAAAATTCACAAATTTCTATTCCATAGAATAATAAGAATATCATTGAAAAAATATGATCAGTACTCTTTCAAATTGATCAAAAGTCATTTTATTCCATGAGCAGGTAGGATAATAACATTTAATAGGCTATTCTAAGTCTTTTTTCTGTTTGGCATCCAATCACACCTTGGTTTTTGACACCTACATGTATCAGACAATCAAACAAAATCAGAACCCCTACACTTGATTATTTTTGTTGACATCTTTGAGTTCTGTTAATTTCTCAAAAATTTACAATAAATATGTCATAGGTAGTGTACTTTAGGCATTTATATCTATTATTTTGATTTTGCTGAAGAATAGATATTTCTGCCAAAAAAGCAGATTGATGAAATAAAATCCTCAGATTTACCTATTATTATAACTATAGACATGATACACGTACAGTCTGTGTTTTATTTTTTAAGCTATATTTTTATTTACAAATAGGTACATGTAGGTAGGTTTTTGATTGAAGGTTGGACGCTAAACAGAGAAAAAAAAAAAAACATGAAATGGGCTTAGTCTAAAACCGTCCTTGACCTGAGACATAAAATTACATAAACTCTACCTAAAAATTAAAATCAAAATGACAATGCTGCACTGGGACAAAACACTTGATGCAGGACATTTTATATAAAAAGTTAGAAAAAAAAAGATTCTACATGAATATTTGGAGCAGCTTATTAAAAAGCCTGAAAAACACTCACAGTGTAGATTATGCATAATAAAGAATATCTGTTGATTGGCCTTTTACTGAACCCAACATCACAAGTCGACATTAAATTATGCATACATTTTTTTAAAAAAGAATAATCTACACTCTACAGCAGTGTAATACTGCAACTGACATATACAAAACATAAAATAGTACATTAAACATGAAAGGCTGCATGTGGAGTGATCTATTACCACACCAGACATAAAACAGGGTAGATTAAATATGAAAAATGGAAAAAAAAATCTATATGTGGAGTGATTAGTTTCCACTTTAAATGTAACACTCAATCAAGAGATACATGTACCCGGTAATATAAAGCTGACAAAGAAAAGTAGTCTATTGACTATGTTAGTTTATTTTCAACAAGCGATTCTTGTCCAGCTCTTTGTTGGAAGGGGTGGAAAATCATTCTTCCGTCGAGCTGCAGTAGTTGAATCATCATCAGCATGAATGGTCTAAACTTCATATTCATATACCTTGTACTCTGTACTGATGAATCTATCTGTAATTTATAAAATTTAACAAATACAATATTATCTGCAGTCAATATCAAAATATATTTCTCACAATGTCTATATCTTATATATAGAATTTCGGTGAAAAAAACATGTATATGTAACAGGAAAAGAGAAAATGTATGGATGGACCGGGAATCAAACCTGAGACCCCTGCATCACTAGTCATGAGCTATTCAGACTGAGCTACCCTGGACGATATATATCCATGGCCCAAACCATTACATATTACATACATGTATATATAACTTGCAAAAATTTACACCTCATACATGCAAATTGCCAATTTTCTACACTTATTAAATTTGGCATAGCAAAATTTAAATGACTTAACCATAATCACTATTATGCTGACATCAAGATCCCCTGGTCTGCTATGGGTTGGTGGTCCTATACCATAAAGTACCATCTTGATGGCTGAAAAAAAAATAGATCAAATAAATATACATGTATACCAGCAAAACCAAAATTTATAATTATATTAGTTGATTGGCAAATCGCTTTTTGTCCCCCGCTTTCGCGAAGGCGAGGGGACATTAAATCTCATTCGTCTGTCCGTCAGTCTGTCCGTCTGTCAGTCTGTCCGTCACAAAAACTTTAACCTTGCCCAAAACTTTTGATTTAGTGGAGCTATGACTTTCATATTTCACATGTGTTTTCCTTGTTACAAGACCTTTCAAAAGGTACCACCAAATTTGACCTTTTGCCCTTGACCTTGGAGTTTGACCCACTTTTACACAAAAATTCCAAACTTTTACTTTGGCCATAACTTTTGAATAGTAGGTACTAGGACTTTCATATTCTACATATATATTGTTTGTGGCAAGACCTTTCATTGGATAACAACAACCTTGACCTTCTGACCTTGACCTTGGAGATTTAAGTACTTATGAAAAAACTTTAACCTTGACCATATCTTTTGAACGGTGAGGACTAAGACTTTCGTACTTCACATATGTAATACTTGTGAGAAGACCTTTCATTGGATACCAACAACTTTGACCCTTTGACCTTGACATTGGAGTTTTAACTACTTTTTAAAAAAAACTTTAACTTTGGTCACAACTTTTTAACGGTTGATACTAGGACTTTTATATTTCATATATGTATTCTTTGTGGCAAGTCCTTTCATTGGATATCAACAACTTTGATCTTTTGACTTTGACCTTAAATATTTACGTACTTATGTAAAAACTTTAACATTGACCATAACTTTTGAACAGTAAGGACTAGGGCTTTCATACTTCACATATGTAATCCTTGTGAGAAAACCTTTCATTGAATAAAAATAAATTTGACCTTTTGATCTTGACCTTGGAGTTGACCTACTTTTAAAAAAACTTTTTTTTACTTTGGCCATAACTTTTTAACGGTCAGGATTAGGGTTTTCATCCTTCCAAAAAAATCAACTTCAATGATAATTTCTAAATAAATGACATATGATAGGATGTTCATATTAAACACAATATGTCATAAAAAATAACATCTCATCCACAAAGAAACCGAAAGCGGGGGACCACAATTCTTTGAATTTGCTTGTTAACCAGTAAATCTAACATTAAATTAAAATGCCCCACTGCCTGGCCAATATTCTAACTATACAGCAGCAGTAATATAAA